CTGCGGCGCCCAGAGCCCTCGCAGGGCCGCAGCCCCGCTGCGACCAGGCCAGGGGGGCGGACGGGCGCGACAGGCTGCGGGGGCGCGCGCTCTCGGCGCAAAACTTGCCCAACGCGCGCGGGACACGTAGCTTCGATTCGAATCTCCCCGCAAAGACGATACCACCACTCTGTTGTGTTCGGGAAATGGGGCCCACAATGTCTCAGCGGAGATGGGTTCAGGGAAAGCCTCCGCAGGGCCTCTCCTGCCCTCGCCCCTTCTATAACCTTCTTCCTCCTCCTCCTCCTCCACCTCTTCTTCTTCTACCATTGGGCCAAGGTGCAGCCACCCACCCACACTGCTACTCGATGATACTACGCTGTGCTACTCAGCTCTGCTTGTCCCCCCATCTCCCCTACCAATGCGTGCGATCACTTCCTCAAGGCCCCACTCCAATGAGATGAGCTCGGCTTCGAACGAGTTCCGTATATATTCCAGATATCGACCGGCTTTCCGAACAAGGACAAGGCCCGTCGAAGATGTATACGAATACATTGCTATTCCGGCTGCTCCGACAGATTGCCGGCGTACCGCTCCATCGAAACAGTCTGATACGCGATGCATGCTCCAATGCACTATCCAGCCCAACATCCTCCTCCCAGTCGAGCTTCCGGTCCAACGCGACGTTGGCGCAATGGTCTGCTATGGAGTTGAAGCGGCGCGGATCCCATTCCACGAAGGGCGCTGTGTCTACCCGGGGCCGCCAACCATGCAGGAGAAGCCAATGTAGGTTCCGGGCAATGCGAACGCATATCGGCCTCACCATGGCAACTTCACAGACAGATTTCCCAGAGAAAAGCTCTTGAACTTGTTGGTTGTCCGTTTGTACCCAAAGCCTTTTTCCAGATTGCGCCCAGTGCAGCTCCCGAGGGTTGCGCAGCAGAGGAGGAAGGGAATTCGCAGCATCTTCCAATCGCACCGTGCTCCAATGATCTGGGCCCGTGCCTCTGAAATCTGTTGATAACCACTGCAACGCCCATACTTCTGATAGTCTCTCCGTGAACGACTGGAACTTCCCCATCCATTCTGCAATGCTTCTGCAGCCATTTCGTTGTTCATGTCGCCATCTCGCCCCCCAAGCCGCAACAAGTGGATGATCCCAGTCTGGCGATTGTTGCCCGCCCTTGCGACGTGCGACTCCCAATTTACGCCTCTTCTGTTCTGGCAAGAGTGCGCGGCACGTCTCCCACCATGCTGCTCCTCGGCACTCCCGTAGCTCCTGGGTCGGTTTCCGCGTGCCCCCAATCCGAAACCACGTTTCTTTCCAAGCCTCCTTGAATACAGACTTCAATGCTCGGACTGCCAGGGACGCAACAGAATGTCTTTCAAACCATGCCTCCAACTGCCGAGCGGTCCGGGCGTGATACTCGGCAGGACCCTCCGTGTCTCTTCGCGCCAAGCGAAGCGCGCGCCGTAACACTTGCAGCTCCCAGGTCCTCAACTGCTACAGCACTGCGGGTGTGAGGTGCCATGTTTCCGTGGCGCCTGCAGCGGCGGCGGCGGCCGTGTCCCGCCATGCTCGCAGCCTGACGCCCATAGGTAACACCTTGTTCCGGAAAAGCTGCTGGTGAGTAAAATAATGCTTCTCCGCGCGTGCCATTTTGTATTGCATGCTGCTCCATGTACTTCCGCACCAATCGATCCTGGAGCCCAGTGCGTCAAGCAAAATGCGTTCGCTATACTCCGCCGAATGTCCCCCAATTTGAGATCTGAGGCCCTCCGTCGGCTTCCCAGCGAGCGTTCCACAAAGAATGTATTCCAACGATTCCGGCTTCCATGAGAAACAAAGCGATTGAGATGGCACTTGCGCTCCTTGCTGCATGCAGTGGGTAAGTCCGTTAACCATGTGCTGCAACATACCCATACTCGCGGCGAAAAGGAAGATGTTGTCTGCCTACAAGGCGTGAGATATGCAGCATGTCTCCGCCCCGTACCCTGCGTCATATGAAAATCCACAGCCAGAAGCACCCCATGCATTCACCAACGGTTCCATTAAATAATCGACAGCGGTGCGGAATTCATCTGGTGTCTCGACTCCTCCCTGTTTGCCCCCTTTCGTATAATCGAATAAATCACTTGTGCCAGCATGTGGTAGTTGTATGCGAGCCTGCACGTGCGAAAGCTCCCTCGCGTGCAGCCAGACATCCTGCGAGTCGACGCCGTAGGATACCAAGGAGTCGCAGACCAATCCATGGGGCATGTCATCGAAAGCTGTTTTGATATCTTGCACTGCGATCACCAATGGTGCCCCCCAAACGTTCGCGTAATGGCACGCCTCCCTCACGACCCCGATCAGGTCTGATACAGAAGTTTTGGGGCGGAAGCCGTAGGACATCACGCTGGTGGGGCGGAGCTGCGCCCGTAGCCTCGGCTGAAGAGCTCGCAAGCACCACTTCTGTAGAACAGCCTATTTGCAACATCCTCCTCCTCCTCCTCCTCCTCCTCCTCGTCCTCCACCTCCTCCTCCTCCTCCCTCTCTCTCTCTCTCTCTATCTCTTTTTCTCTCTTGCATCTCTGTTTCTCTCTCTCTCTCTCTCTCTTTCTCCCGTACCCTCCTCCTTCCTTCCCTCGCCCCTCCTCATCCCTCGCCCCTCCCCATTATCCTCCACCTCCCCAGTACGTCAGTACGTACCATCACATCATCATAGCATCAGCATCATCATTATCCTCCTCATCATCATCATCATCAGCATCAGCATCAGCAGCATCAGCATCGTCGTCGTCATCATCATCAGCATCATCATCATCATCATCATCATCATCAGCATCAGCATCAGCATCATCATCATCATCATCATCATCATCATCATCATCATCATCATCATCATCATCATAATCAGCAGCAGCAGTAGCATCGTCGTCATCATCGTCGTCGGCATAATCATCATCAGCATCATCAGCATCATCATCAGCATCATCGACATCCTCCTCATCATCATCATCATCATCAGCAGTATCATCAACAGCATCATACATAACATCGGCATCACCATCATCAGCATCATCAGCCTCAGAATCATCAGCATCATCATCATAATCAGCATCAACAATAGAATCAGGATCATCACTATCATCATCACCACCGCCTCCACTAACAGCAACAACAACAACATCCTCATCAGCAACAACATCAGCATCAGTAGCATGTAATCCGCATCATCAACAGCAGCACAATAATAATCATCAGTATCAACATCATCATCATCAGCGCCATCATCATCATCATCATCATCATCATCATCATCATCATCAGCGCCATCATCATCAACATCATCATCATCAACAACAACCACATCATCGTGACCATAACCATCAGTATCGCCACCACCACCATTATCATTATCAGTATCACCATGACCATCATCATCACCATCACCAGCAGTATCAGCTTCATCATCATCACCATCACCAGTACAAACAACATCACCATCACCACTATCATCAGCAGCAGAAGCATCAACATCACCATCATCAGCAGCATCATCAGCAGCATCAGCATCATCATCAACAGCATCATCCTGTATTACATATCCCTCCTCGCTTCTCCCACCTGCCTCCGCTTCCTCGTGCTCATAAGCATCAGCAACATAACCAACCTCACACCATCATGATCACAATCATCAGAATCCTCATCCTCATCCCCATTCCCATCGTCACCGTAACAACCACCATCATCATGATCATCATCATCCTCACCCTCATCCTCATCTCTCTTCCTCCATCCTCCGCCTGCATCCCTCCCTCCCCTCCCTCCCCTGCCTCCCCAGCCTCCTCCCTTCTTCCCTCACGGGCCCCAGAGGCCCCCGCTGGCGCCAGGGCGGACAAGAGGGGCTGGCTAGAGAAGGGAGATGAGGGACAACGCTCAGGGGGGGGGACCAGCTCAGGGGGGGGGAAGCAGCGAGCATGAGTCGGCGGTGCATCGCCGACATATCGGCGCTGGGCCCCCGATGGCGAATCCGCACGTTCCTGGCCCGGGTGGGGCCACCAGACCCCGATCGGAGATGAAGAGGCGACTGGGGGTCGATGCATCCCCCCCTGGGCCTGTCCCCCTCCCCCCCCCCCAACGGCGTCCCCGAGGAGAGAGGGCGAGAGGGGCACGAGCTGCAGGCAGGGGCGGCCAGGCAGAGAGAGGGCTTGGGGGGTGTTCCAAGCGCTCCTACTTCGAGGCGTCCCCGGCGTCCCAGCACCATGCTGGAACATCTGGAGCCCTCCTGACTACCTGCGAGACCACCCCAACCCAACCCGAAGACCCAAACTCCGGGTTGGGGGGGGGGGTTAGGGTTTCACGTGTTCTCCAAGGTTCCCGACGCCCCCACCACCACTGAAAATGAAGGTCCAATTGCGGCCTTCGGGTTGGATGGGGGTGGTTTGGTGGGCGGTAACCTCCAGGCCTCGCGAGGGCATCCCTGGAAAAGCAGGGGCAATATTTGGCCAGGGTCTCCCGTGGCAGCATCCCAGAGGGCAGAGAAAAGCGGATGGCGGCGCCCACGAAGGGGTTGCGCGACGGGCCCCCCCTCCTATCAAGCAGTGGCGAAGCGTCTTGGCGCGCCTACAGGCCTACCAAACAATGTTCTAAGAACCTTCTGTGGTTTCCACGGAATGTCCTTAGGCCATTTCTGTGTGGGACTGTCTTGTTTTAATATATGGGTTTCATGTTCTAAGCGTTTTTTGAACATTTGGGGATTCTCAGAACATGTCGTGGTAGGCCTATAGGAATGCCGGGACGGTCGGTCCCTACTCAATCCTAGGAGGGCGGCGGGGCTTCTAAGAAGGCAGGGTGGCTTCTTGGAAGCCCGCCCTGCTTCTGAGAAGCCTTCTTTGAACACCCACAGGACCTTCGAGGAATGCCCCTGCCTCCTACAAAGCCCTTCCGCCTTCTTAATAGGCCCACCCCCTCGCGACACCCTCTTGTGGGCGCCGCCAACGTGGGGAGACAAGACCAGCACGCGGCTTGGGCGCTGGCTGAAGCGCCAAGAAGTCCCCGAACGGGTCGGCGGACCTCGCCACGTCCACCACGTACAACAGCAGCCGGGTCCGCTCCAGGTGCCGCAGGAACTCGTGGCCCATTCCGGAGCCCAGGTGGGCGTCCTCCACCTGAGGAGCAACGATAGGGAGGGGACCAGCTCAGGAGGAGCAATACATCGCCGACAGATCGGCGATAGGCCCAAGATGGCAAAGCCGCACGTTCCTAGGTGAGGCCGTTTATCAGCATCAGCAGAGAATGGACGCTTTGGGGTCGATGAATCGACTCTGAGCCTGTCACCTCTCAATGTTGCCCCTGACCACCAGCCCTGGGACGTCCGCAACTGTCAGGGCGGAGCCGTCGACGAACTCGGCCCGGCCAACGTACGGCGCCACGGTCGTGAAGGGGTAGGGCGCGATCTCGGCAGAAGAAGAAGGAACTGCATGAACAAAAACTTTCGGATGTCCCCATGGACTTCTTGCTCGGCGCTGGATCACCCAACCTGCCAGGAGGGACGCCGCAGGCGCCGCCAGGGAGGCCCAGCGCAGTTCCAAGAAAAGACTGCGCGGACCTCCGAATGTTTATGTGTACGCCATTCGCTCTTCTTAGGCTTGGGGCATGCCCTGCTGACAGCGCCAAGCAGCGTCGACTTGCCGGCGTTGGGCATACCGACAAGGCCCACGTCCGCGATGCTCTTCAGCTCCAGCTCCACCCGGCGCTCCTCGCCAGCGCCCCCCTTCTCCGCCTCATGCGGCCTCGCCATATTGTTGCCCGCGCCGCCCCGCCCGCCCCGCGCCACCACGACCTCGTCGCCCGGCCGGTCCAGCTCAGCGAGGATCGGGCGTTGCGAGAAGTGCCCCTGGCCTAAGGTGCCCCCAAGATTTCCTCCGAGGCGAGCGAGGGGGGAAGTGAGAAGGAGAAGGCCTTGTCAGAAGGCGGCGTGACTTCTCAGAAGCCCTCGCGCCTTCTGAGAAGTGTTCGGTGTCTTCGGGGAAGGCTTGGGAATCTTTTCGGAAGGCTGGGGAACTCCCGAGCCTTCTGAGAAGGCCCGCCCCTTCTCGCTTCCCCCCCGTGCTCGCCGCCGATTTCCAAGGAGGCCCCCACGGCTTCCAGAGCACCCTCAACGAGGCCCCTCGGGCCCCCAGAGGGGGCTCCCCGAGTGCAGCAAGGAGCGCTGCTGGGGACACCTGCTGGGCCAAGGGGCACCTCTCGCAGCCCCCGAGAGGAGGGGGCCGCGCACATAGCGCCGCCGGGCGCCCTCCTCCAGGGCCTCCTCCTCTCGAGCAGGGGATCGATTTCAAAATGAATGCACCCCAAAATCGATGTTCTCGTCGCATCTACCGACAAGTGCCTGGAGGATTCCCAGCAGACTTGCGACAACCTCTCGCGCTCGTCGTTGGTTCGATGGGGGTGGCAAGAGGACAGGACAGGACAAAAGTCTGCGCGCCTGCTCCGGTAGCCAGAGCGGTCCCCTGAGGGGCAGACCGTGCACGTGCGATCGGGAAAAGCAAATACTGGTGAGACAGGCAACAAGGGAAACTCACGTATCCAACGAATCCGCCCATCTCAGACGCTGCCTGTCGGCAAATCAGTTCTTTAGTCGATCCCCTGCTCGATCCTCTTCCGCCGGCAGTAGCTCGTGGACGAGCACGCCTCGCGGCACGGGCACCACGCAGTTGCGCCCAGACTCCCCGTTCCGGTTCTTTGTGAGGCCTGGCCGCCCAGGTGCCCCGCTGAAGTGGCCAAGGAGGGCCGGGAGGGTGCCAGAAGCGGTCCTGGCCTTCTGTTGCCCCTACCGTACTTACGAACCACATCCCAGAAATAATTTCGAGCACCCAGGGCCCGACACGTGAACCCTCAAGTTTCGATACTTTCTTGGTGCACAGTTTTTGTTGGTGATCAAGGCTAAAGTAGGTTGGAACATCAGAGTCCTGGCCCAGGGCGCCCCGCGGCTCTCTGGGCCCAGACCCTGGACGTCGTGGTTCGGCTCATGACGTCTGGCCCCTGGAGGTCTCGGATCCTTCCCCAGACCCAGACCTCCTCGCGCTGTGAAAAAATCACGACGGGAAATGTTTCGCTATCTTCGGCCTCCTTGGGCTCTTCCCGGGGCCTCGGGACTGTCAAAAACGACTCAGGATGAAAAAAAGGTCCCCAGAAAGCGGTCAAGACCTCTGGAGGTCGACGTTGTGAAGAGATCACGACGTCGAAACATACAACAGAGCTCACGTCCTGCATTCTGTTGACGACGCGAGGGGGTTGCTCTCTGGAAGCCGAGAGTCGAAGGGCGACGGAAGGGAGGTGGACTGGCTCATGGAGGGGAGCACTGGCTTGGTGTTGGCGAGACATCGCCGCCGATTGATCGGCGACAGGCCCTCGATAGCGAAGCCGCACGTGCCTGGGCAGGACGGAGCAACCAGGCCCCAACGGGGGGTCGCTGCTTTCCCTCCCGAGACATTCCGAACCCTGCCCGCGCCCCTGATCTGTGAACCTCCCTGGAAAACGCTGGGGCCACCTGGGGCTACGGGGCCACCGCTGGCATCCTCCAGGGAGGTGCGCGAGGCTGTGGTGCGTGCCCGCGGCCCTGACAACGACGTCGCCGCCCTTGCCGCCGGCGCCCCCGCAGGGCCAGCCCGGGCCTATCTTCCGCTGCAGCACGTGCTCGTCGGGGAAACGCGAGACTCCGAGCTGTGGGGATTCGAACGCTCCCGGCAGGGACCTTCAGGAAAAAGACCAGGCATCCCGGCCCGCCGAAACTTCGACACGAGCTCTCGCTGCAAACACCTCGCGAAACCCTGGGGCGTCAAGACTCACGCCGGGACCACCGAAAAAGCGGCGGCGAAACCAAGTCCCGGCAAACCCGAGCCTCACGCTTACCCGAGCTTTGTGTACAGGCAGCCGCCGCCGCCGCCCTTGCCGCCCGTCGCCACGATGCGCCTGCAGTCGACCAGGTGCCGCGAGTACCTCGCGCGCTTCGTCCTCCCCTCGTCCCGCCTCGTCTTCCCTCGCCCTCCTTTCTGATTACTTTCGCGTTCCCTGTGCCTCCGCGAGGTCACAGTGTCTGCTGCCTGGCGTTGTGCTGGACGCGCCCGTATTGCACGACGACGACACCAGGTTTGACACTACTAAAGCCAACTTCGTAATCTACTGCGACGACTGTGGCAGAGGGACTTCCGACCTAAACGAAAGCGCATGGGTCAACCTGGACATCTGGCAGCTCCTGGCAGCAAATCGCAAGGCAGCATACAGGCGGGGAGTGAATTGCCGCTGGCAATGCGTCGGGTGCTGGAGAGACGAAAACGACAACGACGGGAAGCCGATTCTGGACGACGTCAAGCTCCGCGATTTGCTGCGCAACCTGGACAGCAACCGGCCGCCAGAACCTGAGCACCACACTCGACGACCCCTACCCTCCGGGAGCGCAGTGGCCAAGCCGACCGGCAGCACCCGCCCAGCAGACCTCTTGCTGCCGCAGACGGGGCCCAACAGCCCAAGTACAACTGGCACGACCATTCCCACAGACGCACGGACGAGGATCGTCTTGGCGTACACGCGGCCCGTGAGGGGTGCGTGGGGAAGTGCGCCGGGCGTCCTGCTGCAGAGCCGATCCTGGCCCGGGTGCACGGGGGCCCCCCCACCGAGCATGCTCGCATTCAGCCCAGGAAAGGGGCGGCGTACAGCATCACGACATGGTGCGCGGCCTCCCGTGCTACAGTCGGGGCGTTGACCCAAGGAACCCTAGATAAGGCACGAGGCCCCGATTGTCCATGAGTTAAACGTCGCGTCTCCATCGAATACCTAAGAACAACCTAAGGCAAGCTGCGAAACAATCAAGGAACACAGAGCCCCTCCCCAACAAAAAAGGTTCTTTGTTCAGCGCCGCGACTCTATTCCGATTGGACCTTTCAGTCCAGGGCTGGTGGGCTTGTTTTCCAACGCCACCACCAGCAGTAAGAGGGGGAGGGGGTCCTCCTCTTCCTCCTCCTCCTCCTCCTCCTCCACCTCCTTTCCCCCTCCATCTCAGGCCCGTCAAGGGCAAACTGCCTGGCCAAAATCTGGGACGCCCAGCCCTCCGACGTCCGAGCCGTCCTGGCCCGGGATGGAATTCCCGTTTGCAGGCGGGGCGCTGACCCAGGAGCCCCCGCCGGGGTGAAGCGACGCTCGTAAACATGCCGCGGGGGGTCCCCAGCCACCACCGCGTCAATGTTGAGCTACACTGTCAATGCCTCGTTTTCCTGGGGTTTTGCTGTGCTCCTTCTCGTGAACATGTGTCACGTGTGCGGAGCTACACTGTCAATGCCGTGCTTTCTTGTGGCTTTGCTGCGCTCCTGCTCGCAACGCACACCGCGAGAGGCGGCGGAGAGCTTGAAAGATCCACCTACCCCCCCCCAAAACAAAAAAAAAAAACAAACGAGGCCCCTGTTCTCCATAAGTTAAGCTCCATATCCCACCGAGCCCCTCCCAAACGAAAAGGGATCGTTCTTCAACGCCCCGACCGTACCCCGAGAAAGCGCTGGCACGCCGCAGGGCACAGATAGACGGCCCCAGCGCCAACCCACTCAATGTAAAAGCAAATCCAGCGACCAGCACCATTCAGGACCTGGGAGTCGGCTTCGACAGACGCATGACTCAGCAGGTAATCCAGCAGCCGCATTAAAGTGATCATTTGTTTTTTGGCCCCCCCTCTGTCACAGAGGGGGTCTGAGATGCCCCCCCTCTGTCACAGAGGGGGTCTGAGATGCCCCCCCCTCTGTCACGGAGGACCTCGTTCTGGGCGCTCTTCTGCCACGGGAGCTCCCGATACGATTGGAGACGATAAAATGTGATAGCGGGATGGGGGATTGGAGGGGGAGGGAGAAGAAAACGATGAAGGAGAGGAGGCAACGACAGCACCGATGAAAGCACCGTTTCTTTTTCCTTCTCCGCTCGGGCAGCGGTCGCCGAGCACGACGGCGCGCGCGAGTCGCCGCCGCTCACGATGCATTGGCAAGGCCTCCGCTGCTGCGGAGGGTCGACGTTCGGCCGATGAGGCCTCCCTCCGCTGCTGCGGAGGGGCGGCTCCTGTGCGATGGTTCAACTAAGCTTTTCCCAGGGATTGGTTTCGGGGGGGGGTTCGACCCACCTCCAAGTCGTGGTCGCGACCTCCCAGTGCCCCTGGCCGCTACTCCACCCACTGCGGCTGCTCCACCAGTCACTGGGGCGTTGGTCGCTGCCGAATGCAACTTGCATGTCGCGCCAGGCGGAGTCGACCATGCGGTCCTGCAGCGAGGAAGCCTCGCCGCTCGGCTGTTGCCACTCGCGCTCCTCGCCCTCCTTGGTGCGCCACCACTCATCCCTGCGCCACTCCTCGTCTGTTGGTTGCTGCCGTGGCGTTTGTGGCCTCCACTGCTGCGGGGGCTCTGGCGGCTCGTGGCCGGGGGCAGCGATCGCGTCCGAGATGTAGATGGCGGCGCCGCGCTGCCCTCGCTGCTCCAGCGGCGCAGGCCCTGGAGATGGGCACTGCGGGGTCGGCTGCCACCTGGGGGGTGATAAATAATTATTTCTATATCCCCTCCCTGTCAACTCCCGCCCCTTCCCGACACTCATTTCCTTATGTCATCCCTCGTCCTGCTCAGCCTATTCCTCATTCCCTCTCCTCCCTCCTGCCCTCCCCGTGCTCCACCGCCCCTCTCCCCCCCTCCCCCTTTCAACCCCCCGCCGCGACCTTCCATCGCCAGCCGCGGGCATGTCGCGGCCGTCGTCCGCGCTTTCGTCTGCCCATCTTGGTGGGCGCCACGCCTGTTGGGCGCGCTCGTCTTGCTCGTCCCTCTCGCTGTGCTGCTCTGGTGCCTGGCGCTCGGGTCCGTGCTGCTCGGGCGGCAGCGGCGCCCTGAGCGCAGCTGCCAGCTGTTTCTGGGCGCGCCTGTCTTTCTTCTCTTTGGCTCTCTCCTGCTTCCTCCCCGGCGAACGCACGCTGGCCATGCGCATTTGGAACAGGAGAGGGTAGTGGGCGCCGCCGTGCCAGCGCCCCTCCACCTCCACGGTCTCTGGCGGGAACGTCTTCTGCAACGCGCGGAAGAGGGTCACCTCGCGATTACTAGAGAAGCGGTGGTCCCCTCTAGCCTCAGCCTCGGCGCGCCTCAGTTTCTCACTCTCCTTCTCTTGGATCTTGCGTTGGCATTCCTCTGACTGAGTCAGTAAATCCTGGAGGTGCTCGCGGGCGTCTTTTTTCGGGTAGTAGCAAGAGTAAGGCATCCCAGGGCCTCCGTTCTGGCTGTGGTGCCAGTACGTCGGCTGCGATGATGGGCTGGTGGCGGCCCCCGCTGCTGCGGGGGCCTCTGCCTTGCTTCTGTTACGGTACCCGATCTCACCGATCACCGACTTGCGTGCGAAGAGCAACCCCGTCTCGTCTCTGTCGTGCACGGCGCTCAGCGGCCAGCACAGGGTGTACTCGCCAGGCCTGTTGAGAACGAAGATGCCGCAGCTGTCCAAGCACGGAGTGCCGCCCAATCCGCGCCAGAAGTACGCTGCTGCCGTCTCCAATCGCATGCCTAGACCCCGAAGACCCGGCAGCGTCTGCGTGAGCGCCATGTTGAAATCCCCACAAAGGATGTCAACGCTGTTGTCCTGCAAGATGGTCGCCAACCTCGGCCACCACGTCTTGTGAGCCTCGTTAAAGCCTCTGGAATTTTTCGCCGTGTCGCGGTGGAGGTGCACCGCGCACACCCGCACTTTCGAGCCGAAGTGGGCGTAGGTTTGATCGAAGTAGAGCTCAACCACCATGATCCTCGAGAACGCTTCCATCTTGCGCCCTCTTGCTGTTCTGTAGTGGCCGTCGACACTCCTTTCCCAGTGGAGCAGCCGCATTTCGTAACACAGATTTGCGCGCGCAGCGATGCACAAGGACTTGTCCTCACGCCCGCGCAGGGTCAAGTATTCGTACTCTGGTCGATTCTGGAGCTGTTGGCAATCGCCAACACTCGCAGCACGACTTCCTCTTGCTGTCGCCATCGCTGCTGCGGGGGCGACAAAAGGCCCACCGCTGCTGCTGCTTTGGCCCTCCGCTGCTGACGCCCCCGCTGCTGCGGGGGCGTCCGCCTGCAGCGGCGGTGGTCTCCCTGGCCGCTGTAGGATTGACCCCATCTGCTCCTCACATTCCGCAAAGCACGCCACGAGAGCAGGGCAATGCCGCAGCTGCAACTCAAGTCTCCGCCGCTGGTCCGCGTGGTTGGTCTCGCTCGGCATGGAGCCCCAGTTCCCGAACAGGACGGAAAGGTTGCCCACGTTGTCGTTCCGTGGCCTGTTCACGTCAGCCGCTCTTCTTTCGCAGAAGAACTTTGGCGGGACGGTGTCGCGAAGACGGCATTCGCGCCGCTCGACGTCGTTGGGCGGCCTGCAGCCCCTAAATTCCTGAGGCTCTTCGTCGTCGCTCGGATCCACCACGGAGTCGCCTGGGCGGGTGCGCATCGTAGAAACTTCTGATCGCGCCGCCGCTGCTGAGCTTGAGACGCCAGGCCGCGCAGCCCCCGCTGCTGCGGGGGTTCTCTCTGGCACAGTGGCCCAAGGACCCTTCCAGGGTTCTGCCTGACCACCTACAGGTCGCCAAACCTTCCCAGATTTCGCTGTGAACACTGCCGTCAGTCGGCCCCGAGGCCCCGCTGCTGCGGGGCCCAATGGGCTGCTGCTGCTGCTGGCGGCCGCGGCCATCGCTCCCTGCCCCCGCGTTGCAGGGGGGGCGGCCGTCAGAGCCGAACTCCTGGGGCCGAAACGGCGGTGGAAGGAGGGGGGCGGGGCGAAGAGGAGGAAGACGGGGCGGATAGGGAAGGAAAGGGCGGGCAGAGAGAGAGGGAGAGAGAGAGAGAGAGAGAGAGAGAGAGAGAGAGACAGGGAGATAGTGAGAGAGGGAGAGAGAGAGAGAGAGAGAGAGAGAGAGAGAGAGAGAGAGAGAGAGAGAGAGAGAGAGAGAGAGAGAGAGAGAGAGAGAG